TCACTAATTTTAATGTAGGTGTCGTCTATAATAACCTGCGGCAAGCGAAACCAATCTATCTTGGATACCATTCTAGAGCTGCCAATAACAATCATTTGCGTTTTCGTTTCGTTTAGCTTAAGACCAAATTGTTTACTCCACGTCCAAATATGACGGAGATCATTATTGATTTCCTCAATGGCTTCATGCAGGTTTTCAAGTTGCCGGTGAGTGTAAATTTGTAAATCATCTGCATACAGGTGGTAGGATGAGGTAAGACTGCGGGAAATTGAATTAATAAAGATCGAGAAGAGAAGAAGAGATAAAACGCCGCCCTGTGGAACGCCGGCACTAATGTCATACCAAGAAGAGAACCTCTCATCAATGCGAACACACTGTCGACGCCCAAGAGATTACCGTTGGAGATATGTTAAGAGTGCGTAAAAGTGCAATCAAAATGTCAAAATCAACGTTGTTGAAAGCATTGCTGAAATCAAGCAATGACATTACAGTGAGTTGCTGTTGCGACATACCATACCTAATGTCATCAGTGATCCTAACAAGAGCAGTCGCAGTGCTGTGTCCTGGTCGGAAACCGGATTGAAAAGTGTTAAGAAGGTTGTTACGTATGAGAAAAGGAGTAATTTGGTTATGAACTAGTCGCTCTAGCAGCTTTGATAGAAAGGGAAGTATAGAAATAGGTCGGAAATCAGAAAAGTTAGATGGGTTGGCTTTTTTGGGAAGAGGAGTAATGAGAGCTTCCTTCCAAAGGGAAGGCAATTCCCCGCTGCTGATAGAAAAATTAAGAATATACCGGATTACAGGTAAAATCTCATCAAGTATGAATAAAAACATATTACGACAAATATGGTCACTGCCAACAGCATTGGACGAAATAGATTCTATGCCCTTCTTAACATCACAATCAGTAAAACTCTTTTAAAGAAAACGGAGGATGGTCGGCAGTTGGAAGCGTGGAAAGATAATTTAAGGTAGATGTTTAGTCGGCCCGTCGAAGGCAACCGAATCAGAGAAATTATGATTAAGAGCATCAAGGTTTAAATTTTTTGGGAAACTATCTTGACGTGACTTACCAACTCCCAGCGACCTAAGAAACTTCCAGACTTTAGCCGGATCATCAGTTTCTAACCGCTCACGCGATACATGCAGCCGTAGACGCATACCACACCTAGAGGTGCTGGTGATGATTTTATACCGATTTATCGGATATCGAAGTTATAACAGATAAAAGAACTAATATTAATTGCTATTTCGGTAACTACTCTAGCAAACCATAAAGTTTTTAATGCCTAGGTCTGTCATTTAAAAAAAATAAACAACTTCAAAAATACGTCACGACAATCGTGTGTGTTATTGTTTGGGCTGGTGATTTCGGTGTTTATTTATTGAAAACATACCGTAAGCAGCGATTTTAAGTTTACCCTGAATATAAATGTTTGTAAACTATACTTTAAGGATTATACTTTATTATATTTTATTATTATACTTCATGGTAAACGTTAGAACCACTCAAACGGAATATTATCATATTTGTCCAAGTACACCAAAAATTTCATTAGTGCTTTTAAGTGCAGGATTTGCGGTGTATTACTGCATTTTATTTGAGATGTTTTTGTTGGTAGTACGGCGGGTATTTATTTAGCATTGCAGAATAATATTTTTTATTTATAAAAACTTGAATTTAAACTGAATGCTTTTCTTATTTGCGAAACCAAATAGCCGCCATTTTGCGGTAGGAGGAGCGCATCGCGTGAGCGGTTATAGAACTATGAATATTTCGGCGTTGTCCATCCCTACACAACCGATTGCAGTGATTACGACGCTCATTATAGATGCGCTTATTCTCATCTGTAGGACTGTACTTAAATCTGGCCTTAGCTGTGAGCTTTTTATTCATAGCAGTCCTAACATTCTGGTTTAGCCAAGGTGCAGGGAGATGTTTCATTTTAACTGGCCGTACTGGTGCATGTTTATCGTAAAGGTTCATCAATGCGTTGTTAAACTCAGACACTTTGCTATCGATTGATATAGCATTCACAACGTTACCCCAGTCAATTTCACGAGCATCACTCCGCAAACAGTTCAAATCAATTCCACGAAAATTGCGCTGCAGAAGAATTTTGGGTTTAGCTTTGGGTGGGCGGATTTTGTAGGAAAGATAAATCAAGTCATGATAAGAAAATGTGTCCGCAGCGCACTGACCATGTTTACTAACGAAGTTCAAAGATGACAAAATTATTAAGTCAAGAAGTGAAGGAGTTGAGTTGGGACAATTATGTGTAGCATCAAGTAGAAGAATGGTCATATTGTTAGCCATAATAAGAGATTCAAAACAAGAAGAACGACTATCTTGTTTGAGAAGGCAAGTATTAAAGTCACCCATAATTATGTTATGTTCATAGGAAGGCGAGAAGTCCTCTAATAATTTTTGAAAAGAAGCGAAAAAGTTAATACGAAGAGAGGGACAATAGTAGACACCAAGTAATAGTTTAGTATGAGAAAAGAGAACTTCAATGAAAACGTGCTCACCAGCATTGGATAGCGATTGAGAGACGTGCTAACTATTGAGAATGGTATATGGGATCGTAGGTAAATAGCAACGCCACCTCCGCCGCAACCAATGCGATCGTTACGAATTAAATTAAATCCTGGTAAAGATTAAGACGAGGACTGAAGGCATGGTTTTAACCAGGATTCAGAGATAAGGATAGCATGAAGATTTTTATTATTAAATGATGCCAGCATATCTGAAAAATGAGCCGGAATACTCTGCGCATTTACATGGATAATATTAAAATGTTTGGGAACGTCACAAAATACCGAGTCAATTGTGCTCGAAAGGGATGGAATGTTACAAAAGCTAACATCACTGTCACTACTGCTATGAGAACTACAAGAAACATAAACCTCATCGTCATTATCACTGCTTATCGACATAAATTTTATTATAATAAACTACTGTATTATATATAAATCAATTTATAAAATATATAATGATAAGAAAATAACAATAATAATTTAAATAATATTTTGTTACTGCCCAACTGCCAGTTCCGTGCATAACAACATTAAAAAACAAAAAAAAATTATAAATGAAACTTTCGAGCAGCCGTAGCCATCATAAAAAAAAAAATAATTAACTTTCTCGCGTCACGGTAATTGTCAAAAACATAATTTTGTTAAAGACAGTACATTGGCGGAATCGCCATTTTTTTTGTATAATTTTTATAATAATATTAAACTACCGTACATAGTTATTTTTACTTGACATTGGCAAAATCATTGATTATGTCGATGGAGTCATTACATTTAAAAGAAGAAGATAAGAAAAGAAAAAAAAGAACAAGAAATTGGGTGAACTAAACGATGGTATTGTAAAAATTTTAAATGGACAAATCAAAACAAAATCTAAATGGGAAAATTGGCCAATATTACTTTTTGGATGCCGCAACACGCCTCGCCTTCGGAGGGACGGCACTCGGCTGTTTTGATGATGAAGCCGCAGGCCTCAGATTCCTCTTCGGTGAAGTCGTTTCGAAATCCTCCTTTGGTAAAATTGCATCGAGATCCATGATGCTGCTGATACGATGACGAGTTTCATCAGGTCCGATTGCGAAGACTTGGCCTTCTCGCGTCCAACATTTTGCAACACCTATGCGTTGACGTGCCTCCATGAAAACGGCATGCCGCGTTCTCGTCAGGAATTCAGATAACGTCACACCTGAGCCCTTTAACTTAATTTTGGCCATCCAGACTTTGTCACGGATAGAAACATCTCGGAGCTTGAACAGGATCGGCCTCGGCCTGTTATTATTTCCTTGACGTCCCATCCTGTGGCTGCGAGAGATCTCTCTAACAGAGAATGTAGTTAATTTTAGCCGATGGACCACTACTAAAAACTTACTACACATTACTAATAATCGGCATTAAACTAGCTAAATTGATTTATATAAAGCCAATTACATTTTAATTTCATAGTGAATAATCGCAAAAAGATAGGTATACCTATGACTGAGCAAATTACTTATTAAATAATATATTGATTTGAATATCGATTGTTTGTTACACGATACTGTCATTGTTAACCATTAATCATTTCTTCTTAAGCGTGAAACACATAGCGAACGGGTGCGGGTCGGGCGCGATTCGGGTCAGACGGGACCGCGGCGTGTCTAAGGTTTCGTGTAATCTATAATTATGGATGACAACACAGCGAGCGCTGTGTTTCTGTGTTTCACGCTCTTTATTGTAGATATTAGTGTAACTATCTGTAATCTCAGCGATTAGGGTTAGGGTTTTACCGCTAAGATTACAGATAGTTACCAGGTAATCTTGATGCGGTCGATATTTTATCATATTTCTTACTATACAAATTATTTTTTGTAATTTATCTATTGAATCCACAAAGTTTCTACAGCATTTTTATACATCTTTTACAAATGTGATATAGTACAAAAGCCTTGTGCGTTGTTCACCAGCACTATGTGTTCAAGTTTTTTTTTTGGTCACGAGAAACGCATTGAAGGAGCAATGCTTGCATGCAGGTGCTGTCGCCGCTGTGCGTTGCATCGTTGCAACAATGCTATGATTTCAAAGTACCGTGTGTAACGGCGCTTACTTACTAATAATAATAAATAAATAAAATGTTTACTTCAGTAATACAATTAATAATGGATGGTACCTTATATTAAGCTTATCAAGCCTGTGTGAGGAGCTATCGCTCTTCCATAGGTATAAATGCATATTTTACATTATCATCTTATACTTAATTTAATGTTTAATTTTTACATTTCCAAACTATGTCAAGACAAACAATTTTTAACAATTTTCAACACGCACCCCTGCACCTTTCCCCGCTTCCTCTTCTGGCCCCACCTTATTTATGTAAATATGTAGTATGGTATAAAGTTCTAATTTATATGTAGTACAACGCAGTGTCATCGCTCAGGCGTCGCAAAGCATTGTGTGCTATCTCTCTAAGCGTTAATATCGTAATTAATATGGGATCATTAGCAGGGCCTCCAACGATGCGTATCATAAACTTGAAACGGTGAATGAGATGGTCTTGATACAAATATATTCGATTCAGATCCGGTAATAAATCTTTCATTTTCAATGTGTTGCGATCGCCAAAAAGCATAAGAACTCGTTAAGTACCTTTTGTCATTCTCATCTTCCTTAATATACATTCGTAGAGAGAGAAAGAGAGAGAAAGAAATCCTTTACTTTTTTTGATATCTGAAAAAGTTTTCAACTGATCTCTCAGGGAAAAATATTCAATAATCGTAAATACCGACTTTCGTGTCTTTTTGTCCCAGCGAAATTCCTCATTAAGCTGCGGAGTGCCTAGCCAATGTATTCTTACGCGCCCGCGTATATTCCAATACGAACATACGCTAGACCCAGATCCAGCGTGTGACTTAGAGAACAATGGTCCCTACTTTTTCCGGAACTGCACCTACCTCGTCCGACCGTCGACCGTATCTACCTCGTCAATATTTTCCCATCACCGTCACCGAAGTTGTTTAGTTGACGTGTTCGTTGCTGGCCACCAGTCCTGCACCAATCACTATATCAGGAGCCGCCTTATCGACGTATTTATCGGTCCCTTTCGACCATACACTTCTGTTCTCGAATTCTGCGTCAACCAGCTGTTAATGTCATGAGATATCTGCTACATTTGTGCCTAAAGTTTTTAAATTCAGAACGCCTGATAATTTGTGGATCGCAATATTTTATCATTCTAATTGAAATTTGCATACATTGACTTACAAATAAGTCAATGTTTGTATAGCACGCCATTTCCTGAATTTGAATCTGACTACTTTGTGATACGGAAATGTTCATCGTCGTGCAATTAAAGACGCACCCATATCAGTGGATTTAATTTCAAAAAGTTTTTAATTAGGTTAATGAAAAATTGAAAAAAGAACTTTATATTTTGTATTGCGTATTTTTCGTCAACATAACAAAAGATATCCGCGCTCATTATTTTAAGTATGAGTACCGATAAGATTATAATGTGAAGCTAAATCGGATTTATCGTTTTCTAATCATCCATCGCTTTCGGAAATATTATTAATAAAAAGTTACCATAGGTGTCAGTATCAGCTACGTTATTTTTGTAGTTAGTGGATATTTAGTAACACATAATTATGTTTATAAATATTGTTTTTGTTGTATTAAGCACATTAGTGTTGATCGACGCCACGTTTCTTGAATGGGAAGCTAAACATCCACCCTTCGATCCAAATATATACGAGGAAGTTTTAGATCCTGAGCTATGTGCGAAACAAATACAATATTTGACTTTGAACGATACGCTTTTACTGATGACATGTAAGTAATATGAAAGGATTTTATTTCGAGACATTCTGCATTGGGATGTTGATATTGAGAATCTGAAAACATGAACAAAAGGCCGTAACTATCACGACTGTAATAATTGATATTACTTATTTATTTGTGGAAACTATGGACCAATAACTGAAAAGAACTGCAATGCTAATCTCCATACTACAGATTGTACGTACAATTAGGTTGTGGAATGAACTCCCTGTCGGAGTTTTCTGGCAGGAATACAGCATGGAGTCCTTCAAAAGTGGTTTGAGTGGTGTCCTAGAGGGTTGACAGCGCGCTAGTGACGCCCCTTGTGTTGCAGGTGTTCATAGACGATGGTGACCGCTTTCCATCAGGGGGGCCGTAAACTTGTTTGCTGCCTACATAAAATAAAAATAAAAACGTAACTCTGAAGAAGGTCATAATTCCGTCTTATATGTAGATGGCGCTGATCAATAGCCTGCAAGTAGTTTATGACATATAAGTGGTCGTGGATATAAATTAAGTCCTCTTTAATATGAAATATAAGTAGTCAGTTTTCCTTGATTACACACATTTTGTAACACCTTGTAATATTATTACAAGGTGTTACAAACTAATTTATAACTTAACGCTGGCTAATATGGGTAGATGGTACTAATCCTAAACAAAATTAATTAATAGCCAGCGCAGTATCCATAAAAATCAGTGCAATAAGCGCCATCTCATTGATTTGTTTGTTATCACTAGAAGTTAGAGTAGCTTTGATAAATTGCAGCTCGTCAATGTAAAACAAATTAGTTACAAAAATACCTTTTTGGTATTCATCGCGACATCTGGTATACCAATAGATACTTAATAACCGACTACGCTGTCTTGTATTGTGAGTAGCAGTCTTCTTGCGTTATAGGTCCATAGTGGAAACATAGGTCGTATGGAACAAAATTACTATAGTTTCACTGTATTCGGTCATAATGATATTAATTAAGCATACACACTTATTGAATTTACATCTTTGTTTTTCAAAGTTAGTGTATTGAAAATCAATCCTACAGTTCTCGAGTCAGGCCCAAGACTACCTAGAGGAATTCTGCAGGGTAATCTTCTAGATCTAGGAAATTACCATCAATGCCTTGGTATTAACACAGAAATTGATGATATGGTTATTGATGGGAAGTATTGTCAAATAAGTATTGGATTGTCAGATCTTGTTAACTTAGGAAGTGCAACTGAATTGGAAAGCGTAAAGAAAGCTAGTGATACTATAAAAGATGAGGTATATCTATATGAAAGAATACAAAAACATTTAGAAACCCTGGATGGGATAGAAAGGAAAAAATATTTAAGGTAAGAATCACAGTTGAAATATCTTCAATTGGGTACGAGATATAATTAAACAAGATTCACTTCCAAAGTAACTTCAATTATATTCATCATTAGCCCATCATCATTACTATTGGCCGTGGGTCTCCTAGTTCGCCACTCAGCCCAAACCGAATCGGTAACTTTAATTGTTTTCGAAGGGTTGTGAACTTACTTCAACATGCAGGTTTCATCACAATGTTTTCCGCCACAGGTATTCTAACTTATAACCTGTTTATTGGCAAGGTGATACGTTTTTGGTGAAATTCTATGTATCTTGAATCAATTATCTAGAGGTACGATTGGAATGTGTGAAATCTGGGAGTCATTGAGATTTTTATGTTAACTTTTAGTAAATGTTCATTTTTAGAACGGGTGCAGGTAATATTGATGATTTACACTTTAGTGTAGCTATTTGTATACCAAAGCCCTGCTCCATAAGACAGGCATTGCCAAATCTGCTTGGAGCTGAGGTTATCAATTTTGAAGAACAATACTGCAGATTCAAAAACGACAAACCGTGGGCACCTGGGGTTTATGTGGCTATGTAAGTACTTTTGGGTTCTTTATTTTCATCGTAGTTATCTTTGCTTCAAAGTACGATACTTCACAAATAGTTTAGACGTGTAAATGTTCATTAACAAATAAGACAGCATAGTAAAAAGAATTTCAGACTTATACACCACTAACACAGTTAGTCATCATCAACACTATTTATACGTTTAAGCGTTACGCTTCCACATTTATATGGCGAACGGCTATGTAGTGGAATTCCCTGCTGCAGACTTGTTCCCTGATCGTTATAACTTGGGTCTTTTCAAGGCGAGAGTGAATAGACATTATTTAGGTGTGCATGCTCCATCGTCGACCTCATCGTCACTTTCGATTAGGTGAGATGAAGGTCAAATGCACACTTATATTTTATTTTAAAAAAGTCCTACTGCTGGCTACGGGACTCCTCTCAGGCGAGGATTTGGGCAATAGTCCGCCACTCTGGCCCATTGCAGGTTCGGGACTTCAGACTTTATTCCAAGTGCAGATCTCACCACGATGTTGTACTTCAACGAAAAGCTCTTGGTAACAACCAAAGATACTGCAGCGGCAGCGATTTGTATTCAGAATGTTCTAAATTTGAGCTTATCGTTGGTTACAATAATAACCATGTAATAATGTTGGGCTAGTATAATATTGGCTCGATTTATAGGCTTTATATGCCTCTGTTTTTTTTTTAATTATATTCCTGACGAAACGGTTGTTTTTGAAATAGGCCACTACATTAGAAAGTCATCGGAACCTGGATGCTATGATGCACGTATCAATAATAGATTTTATTTTCAGTGTCATCTTCAGTTTGATTGTTTTACTGGCCATACTTAGTACAAGTTACGATATTTGGAATACGCTTATTCGTAAAAGGGGTAAGTTCTTATTAATAAATGTAGGCACATGATACTATGTAATATGAAGTAGTAAATGCTTGTAATGTTGTAGATGTATTTGTTAACTTCCCAATAAAAAAATATTGGGATCTGTAAAGTGCTCGAGACACAGTTTTTTTTAAACAAAACAAATATACGCCATATAGATCCGAAATTGTACGAGTAGTTCCACCTTCAATGTAAATGCCTAAGAACCCCTGTAATTCATCATGTAAGCAGCAAATCGCCGAAATAATACACGTGGTACTTTACTTCGCTTTTATTATGATCAAAATAATTCAACTGTTACAATTTCCAAAGTACAATCGAGTCTACATAAAAATTATATCACAACCAATGCTAACAATCAAGATTTTGATAGATGGCTCCCGCTAGTGGCGCCATATGTCAAGATGTCGTTTAGAACAGTCATCAATTTATATTAAAAGTTTAAAAAACAGAAATTCGCAGGAGTTAGATATTAAGTGTGATCTTCTAAATAATAACTTTATTTAATCTAATTATAATAAGAGAATAACATTCAAATTTTGACAACAAATTATAAATCGTAATATTGTGACGCCTCGAAACCCAATTGAAAGTAAGAAGTGCATTCTCATTAAATCTCAATCATACTCTTATTAATAACATTTATTTAAAGTAACAGTAGAATAACACTATATTTATCTATGAATATATTATTAAGGCTAACAGTCAGAAAACTATTTTTAAAAGTGAATCTTATAATCATTGAAACGAGGTTGATGTTTATTCTTCCCTAAACAAAGACTCTTCCCTAAATTAATATCTCTTGAGATATTTAATGTAATTGTTTTAACCTAATACACATTATTGTTTCTTTTTACTTAATAAATTATAAACTTGTGTATATTCATTTAAGATTTTTGGGAAGCATTTGATTCGCTGTAAGTTTTATAAAGTTCATGTATGTTGAATAAATTTTCGGTTTGGTTTACTTTAGTACTAAATGTCGCGTCCATTCAGTCAGGTTTACGTTTCATTCTTCCAGAACCTTTATTCTCGGCACTTCTTAACGTCATGCACTAGCAGATTATTGAAGTGTTCTATTTGATTTGTCAATGGACTTGGAAATGGCCTACGTGATCTTTTCGGCGCCTCGCAAAATCAAAGTTAAAGTAAAAAAATCATTTATTCCATGGGTAAAATAAATTACACTTGTAAACGTCATTTTTTTAAACGCGATTGCTCTTTTCAAGTAAACTTAAATGCAATGGAATATAATTTGAATCAAATTTATGTGGAATCCAGACCCATGTCGTCTTTCCATGCATCTTTAAAACACGTAGTCTTCAATTTTGTAATCAATTGAAATACTTTCAATGTAAGTTTTAAACTTAGGAAATGATAATGTTAATGTATGCTCCGGAATCTTGTAGCAAAAAAACGTGTGCCTTGTGTTGGATACAAGCAACTGCCAACTAAAAGCGAATATTCTATTTTCATACAAAATCGACGCAGTGGTCGGTTGTAATGTAATCACATGTAAATCGTATGAAAATAGAATATTTTATTCGCTTCCAGTTGCCGGTTGCTTGTATTCAACACAAAACACACATTTGTGCGGTGCCTTACCATCCACGGCCAGCATTTCAAAATTAACCGGGACTTTGTACAGCGTGCAAAATTATTGCATTGATATGCATAGTATTCAAAGGTCGCCAGAAATAAGCGATAACATCGCTAGGCTTATAGAAAATATTACCTAAGCCTACTTTTCATACTTAGTATGTAAATTGATTTAGTGATTATGTAACTATTGCACATGACAAAGTAATATTTGCCACATCTACAAGAAACTAGCTTATATTTACATGATTTGCTTTTGTACTAAATTACTATTTTTTTGTTTATTTCAGACCCCAAATCACTCAATAAAATTCATCAATCATTCTCAGTATACACCAATTCTCGGCGTCTTATTACATTTAATCCAGTTCGAGGCGCTATAGAATGTGTCGACGGCATTAGAGCAATAACTATGGTTTGGATTGTAATCGGGCACTTATTTGCTTTTCCACCAACTATTGTAAATAACTTGGATTTCTATCAGGTACTTTTGCCGTTTAAAGTTTATTATATTATGCTCTTATCTCTTTCGTTCCCTTCTGTATTATTTACTGATTAAAACACAGGGACTACCTAGACACTTATAGCAGTAGAGCTTCTCGTGAAAAAGTTTGTCCAGGGAAGTATTGTAACCTGTAAGTGTAGTAACTTTACATATTTCTACCGCCAAGGGTAATGTGAGCTTTATTGCATTCCGGTTTGGAAGGGTAAGGGTCCTGAAATTGCAGGCATATGGGATTTGTCAAGTTGTGTGTGAGGGTGACAGGCACAGTACCGGTACCCCTAAAATCTTTGCGATTTAAAGCACTGAGTGGCACTGCAACTGTTATGGATAGGCATGTCGCTTACCACCATGTGCACGATTGTGAATGAGAGAGAAATATTATTATTATTAAACATTCTTTATATTTGTAAAAAAAAGAGTCCTGCTTTCCACTGCATAAAGCACTGCTGAAAACCGTTATTAGAAACATAGGTTACATTCATCTCTGACTTAGATCCTGGCATGTGCGAAAATGTATTTAAATAAACAAAATTAATGTACGATTTGGCTGATGGCAAGGTTTTCTGGCTATGCAGAATCCACCTGATTAGGTACCATCCCGCTGCTCTGTTGTAGATGGAAGGGATGGGAAAGCTTGCGTAATTACAGTCGTTAAAGATTTCAGTTTCTCAGTTGGCAAAGCAAATTCTATATCATGAATTACTTTCCATCAGGTGGTCCGTCTGACTAATTGTCTAATTAGGTAAATACTATTAAATAGTTTAGGATAGCTGTATCTATAATAAAGGACTTTATTTCAACACCTGTCCTTAATCCATGTTTATTTTCTATTTTATAGTGGATTTTCTCCTGGGGTTCAATGTGGTTGACTGGGGCACCAATTGGTGTGGATACTTTCTTCATGATGAGCGGTTTGCTGATCGTCTACACGAGTGTTGGAAAACTTAGCAATAGTAAGTGTTTATTCAATAATTTAGATTATCCGGTTTCTATATATTGTAGTTTTATCTGGACTTGAATTGATTTTCTATTTTGTAAATAAAACACTGTCATTTTCTCTAAAGTTGCACGGAATTGTTGGTACGGCAATTTTCCCAATGTTTATATTCCAAAGGTTAAGATGCTTAGCGACATATTTCAGACATAGCTCGCCAATTTCTGATTATTACCATATATCATAAAAACTAGAAGCATCGCTGTTCCATCGGTGTCTTTAGCAAAAACATGACTATTGTGTTTATTTGCGCCACACTTAATGGTGCAAATAAACACAATAAAGCGTAAGCTACATTTTTGGTACAGGATGAAATATACAATATATGGAATTTTGTTCCATTTCTCATATGTTAAGCTAAGGGATAAATCATTTTCTACCATTCTTTGAAAAAAGTACAACGGTTTCTTTTCATTCGAAATAAATGGTGATAGCTGAGATTGAGCAATTGCGTATCTTCCTCATCTCTTTCAGACTCGGACTCTTTAAGCATTGCTTGATTCTTGTTCTCGGCAAAATCGTATTATATTCGTTTATGAACCCATCTAAATAATTCATTTTGTTTATCTTACAGTGAAACTATTAAAAAACCTCCATCTGTTTTACCTCAATCGATATCTACGATTATTTCCTCTACTAGCCTCAACCGTATTGCTGCAAATCGGTGTATTACATTATATACACGACGGTGCAAATTGGCTTGGAGTAGCTGCCCTGACTGAACGTTGTAGGAGAAACTGGTGGTCATCAATACTTTATGTGCAAAATTATATTCGACCCACGGTACGTTTCACAGCTTTATTAGGCTCTAGGTGTGTATTGTTCAAGTTTCAAATGTTCTTTGTTTGTTAACGTTATAACGTTAGTTCATCATTATTTAAGGGATTCATATTCGTTCTCTTGGACTGGTTACTCTTTTATTGAGATCTATTTTTGTTTTTAGTGTTTACCTCAGACCTGGTATTTAGGAATTGATATGCAACTGCACATCGTATCCCCACTGATTTTATTCTGGGTATTATCAAGCAAAAAGAAAATCGCCTGGTCTGCTCTAGCTATTGCAGTATTAGCTTCTCTCACCGCAACATCTATTTACAACTTCTTGAGTAATTTCACTGGTACTGATATACGGCCTATGTAAGTGTTACAAATAGATTGATTAATACTAACCTTCAGTGCTCTACATTGATTCATTCGAACACAACACTTATGTATAAAAAATAATACTGTTTTTCTTTTAACGACCATAGCAGTTTTAATAGTTTCTGCTATATATCTTCAATAAACATCAATCAATGCCATTGTTCACCACGGTAACATAAAGCAGGTTAGTGAACTCTCAAGAGTTTTTAGAAACATCTTAGAAATACAAGTTTCACAATGACATTCTTTACTTTTGTGATAATTACATAATGAAATTATTTATGATTTGAAAAGACTCAGTGGTGCAGGCTCTTTTGGTAAGTATAGAACCGCGAGTTTCTCGTATTGAATAAAGCCTATCGCCTCTGTACTAGGCTGTTCCTGCTAACATCCACAGATCTGTATAAACTTTTTGATTCCAGTTTGAGCGCAGGTGAGATGGATAGATATTATAGAAACTATTATTTTAATACATTTACAAGATCTCCACCTTTCTTTCTTGGGATGTGCTTTGGATACTTGATCCACTATTGGCGAGAAAGGAATATTCGAATTACTAAGGTAAGTTTAAGCTGTTGAAGTAACAAATTAAAGATGGAATTTTTTTACTTTGTTTGATAATGCAATTTTTTTATTAAAATGTCAAGACTTTCACGCCTTGAACGAAACTACGCCCAGTAGAGTTCGGACTAGTGCTTAGAATTAAGACATTACACCGACTACAACTTTGCTATAACCAATTTTATATGAAAGTAATACATTTGTCGATATTGTAAGTTGAACTAAATAATCTTCATACAAAATATTCGTATTTCGAGTATAGCGTGTGCCATGGTAAAAATGAAAGTAATCATGGTTACTGGTGCACCGTGGTGGTATAAGGTGAAAATGATTGAGTCATTGGTTGGTAGATGACTGATTGTATTGTAGTTGCCATCAAGCAGTAACGTGAGCATTAACTATGTTTTGGTTTTGGTGAAAATTACAGGCACATGGGATTTGTCAACACATGTCCCAGGGTGACCCCACAGAACTTTGTAATTTAAAGCTCTGACAGCAACTGCAACATTGCAACTGTTATGGACAGGAGTGTCGCTTACCACCAGGCACACGACTTGTTCATTCCATCACTTAGTATCATAAAAAAAGTTACAAAACTTATATAAACAGGTTTGATACTTGCCTGTTAGTGTTCTCTTACACTGTTAGCTTGCACCAAAACGTGCCTGAATATCGAAAGAAGGTTTGACATTGGCATACCTGGTGACCGTTACAGCATAATCTAGATGAAAATGGAATTATGAAACTTATTGTTTTACAGGTCGTGAATTGCATATTATGGGTGTTTAGCTTAGCCATATTGTCGTTTGCTTTTTATGCGACTACGCCGATGAAAAATGCTGACTTCGATAAGCAAATTTATGATAACTTTGTGAATTCCTTCATGCGACCAGTGTGGGCTCTTGGACTTGGCTGGCTTATTCTTGCTTGCGCCGAAGGTTACGGAGGTGAATAAAAAAAAACAAAAATATATATAAATATGTAATTAGAATTTAGATAAACTGCCTTTTACCATACATTTTACCAAGAAGTAACCTATATATAATATTTACCTATTTGATGTTTTTGTAACTAAATATTTAATTACGTAATTGGCTAATGTTTTTAAAATTGATTTATTAAAATTTACTTTTTAACTGTTTTATACTCATAAATTGGTAGCATGGAAAAAAAAAAAAAATTATGGGTATTTTGAAAACGTTAATGTAAGAATAAAGAATTATGGCGACTTTCTTATTTCATAATAAAAAAAAAAGAGATGGGACTACATCATGTGTCCATACATGAATAAGGGTCATCGCAATCCGGCGAACAGGAAATCAGAGGATATTAAATTTATCAATGTATATCTCATGATATTTCAATTGAATAGGGTATAATTGCAAAGCTCTGAGACCCACCCGGAGCGTCTCGGCGCATTTATCTCTGCATCTAAGAACCAATGTCCTTACCTATTTCTGTCACTAGCAGTAGAGCTTCTTGTGAAAGAGTTCGCCCGTAATACCTTACCTATTTCTGTCGTCATGCATTAATGTGAGCATTACTGTGCTCCGGTTTTGAATGGTAATGGTTCTGGTTAAATCACGCATATGGGACTTGTCAACTTGTATCTCAGGGTGACGGGCGCTGAGGCAGTGCCCCTCAGATCTTAGTGATGCTCTGAGCGGCACTGTAACTGGTATGGATAGGCATGTCGCTTACCACCATGTCCACGACTTGATCTTCCCGTCAACGTCGAACGACTATAAAAAAATTTCTTTAGAACATATATTTAGTATAGTCATTATGTTTACATTATGTAAACCTTTTTTTGTAATAATAATAGGATTACAAGAAAATAACTATTTTTTCAAATGCTTAAAAACAAATAACGTGATTTAGATCTGAAAAAATAATTTTATTTTCTATATGTAATAATCGCGAAAATCTAAGAACTTCATAGGATTACAAGAGTCAAGTGGAAAAAAACTGTTATACACTTTCAGGTCCAATTAACTGGTTCCTGTCGCTGCAGTTTTGGAAATTGCCATCTCGGCTTTCCTTTGCGATATATTTGTTGCATTTGCCCATACAATTCGTCATAAGAGGAGCCGCTACGCAACACATTTATTTCTCTGCGTTGAATTTTGTAAGTATCCAAGTCTACCTTATTTTAACTGCATTGGTCTTTCGTACCTTCTAAAAACGGCTTTCCATGATTCGAGATTTTGCCGATCACAGCGCACGAGCTAGCAATCCACAAACCAAAAGAAAAGGTTCGTCTGTGGTAACGAACGTCTGGTGTTCGGCAATTAGTTGCCATTAATATGAAATTGCAGGACCGATGTGTGGCCGGTAGACGACCGTGCGAGAAAATCTGTAAAATCACGGACCATAATATGAGGCCGCTTTTGGAGCCCCAACTAGCGTCTTTCGAGCATATTCTTAATAAGCCAAAAGCAGAGAGTAAGAATCGCCATTTTATAAATGGTTATAAAAAACCTTTAAGAGACTTCTGGACTTAAAATTACAAAATATAAAATATATATAAAATATATATCTAGAATCTTCGTGCCGTGTTCGTAACTGAAGAGCCCAGCCCGTGAGGGGGTAAGCACTCCGGAGAGTCTCATAGAACGTTCGAGAATAAAACTTTTCATTTTTTTTGCATGCAATTGCAATGGTAATGACGATTGTAACGTAACAAAAATTTAAATAAAAATTACAGTCTTTAATTTTTATGGAAATAACATGGCTTTTTAATATTTTATTGTGAATCTTGTGTTCCTTTGTAATATACGAAGAAACAAAACTTTTGTATTAGGGATTTTTGAAAATTTACCGTAAAAAAATTATATGGCCAAAATTTTGGATCATGGTAATGATGTTTGCACCGTGTTTATGTAAATCATAGTAAGAATATAAGTGATTTAAGGTTTTAATTTGCAGACACTTATATAAAAAAAACGTGCTTAAGAATTTAAAAAATGAAAAAGGACATATAATTTACGTTTAATTGTTTATGACTCGGGGACCAAAAATTGCTGCGTTTGGCGAATAGTCCCATCAACGTTTTCCCAACGTCAATACGGCTTCCGCGCGTACGTTGGCAAGAAACGCTTGAAAAACACTAGTGTGGGGGTCTCTTACAGTTAACTTAGGTTTTTTGTTTGTCCGTCCTTCCGCCCTCCCGATATTTATTCTTCGGAGGCCTTGAATATCGTTTGTATGTGTATCTTTATTATTATTCTTATTCTTATTATTGAAATCGACGTGTATCTATTGGGATCGTTAACCCTATAATTACTAACCTACACAGTAATTATTTACAGCAACGTTTTAACCTGATCAAATAAATCAAACCATTTTGCCAAGGTTGTAAGTTTATAATAATTTTCTTTTGACACTTAATCGCCCATAAAGCTAGGTCCAAACCAAAACACAATCGACCGAGAACGATAGCCAGCGTTATTACTAAATAGCAATCTTTCCATGCAACTATCATAAACTAAGAACTAATAACCTGCGAAGGGTACGATGATACTTTATTTTAGAAAAAATTTTGCAAATCGGACTTTTCAACTTGTCTCGAAAAGATGGACGCAGTGGCAATGCCCCTCAGATCTTTGCGATTACAGCTCTGAGCGGCAGTGCCACTGTCACTGGACAGGCGTGTCGCCTCATCAATTGGTATGGTAAAAAACCAGGCTATTATATCATTGACTTACAAATAAATGGACGGCGGGTCTAATACAAAAACCACGAAAAAAATGTCCCAAGTCAAACGTAGTAACCTATTTAAACGTAGTGACATGTCAAGGAATATGAAAAAGCTAAAACGTTGAATTTAAATTGTAATGTGATCGCAGTACTGTCTAATTTTGCTTGCTTCGCCGTCAGTCGAACAAACGAAGACTAGAGCGTGAATGGCGCTCCGTATACGATTTTAACGCCCTATAAGTTCGGACACTTTTTAGCGCGGACACGACGTCCATATAATTGTAAGTCAATGTATTATATACAAATTTTATGTTAATATTGTACACAGATATAAATAAAAGAGTTTAAATTGCTTTTGCTTTGTTTAATAATTTCTACTTTGCCTGCTGTGATCATTAAATTTTTTTTTAGATTTACATCTGTTGCGGCCAATTTGTGATAATTTTCATGGTCAGCTTTGTTTTTACAATTCTGGTGGATTCTCCGTGTTGTATTCTTTTCAAGATACTCTTAGGAGGTGGTAAGTTTAAATCTTATAACCTGCGAAAAATATTTCGAAAATGGCGTAAAAATGTAAGTCGCGAGGTAAAATTCACAATGTAACAACCTAAAAAAGGTTTTAATACAACCTATACTAAATAAAGTTTTGTGTTTGGGTAATATCGTACCCCAAAATGTCTTTATTTATTGAATAAGTTTTTTTCTAAAGAGCAATCACAAGGTGCAATGACCTCCGCTTTGACGACAATTTTTTCCCATAAGATTGTGAATCTAATGTGATTTAAAATGTTAATGTTTTTACACCATCAGAAAAAACACATCCTAACAATGATTTTGATAGGTAATAATTGCAAAAATAAATAGTAATGGCATTTACCACAGCAGAAGTCTTCTAACTTTCGACGTCAACAAGTTGTAATTTTGACATTTATTTTCTATTTTATCCTTACTCTGTTATATTGAGAAGTACTAGCAAACATGTGAAGGCAATTCGAGGTACCGCACTGGAATAGTCGAGAAAAAAGGTCACAACATCGCGGTATTGTTTATATAAAAGTTATTGGCTAGTAGACTAGTTATTAACCATTTGTACAAGAACGTTGTTGGCTAGCCAGTGGCGATTCAGTGGTTGAGACTTAGTATCTATGAAGTATGAAGTATTTACATGACTTATTATTGTCTCTTTTTCGCTTTAACTATTTTTAATATTAAATTGTGTTTTGCAGGTATAAAAAATCCGAAATCAGAAGAACTTGGCGACAAAAGAAACATTCGAAAATGATTAATGGTTGACAATGACAGTATCATGTAACAAACAATCAATATTCAAATCAATATTTTATTTAACTAGTAATTTGCTTAGTCATAGGTATACCTACGAGTATCTTTTTGCGATGATTCACTATGAAATGAAAATGTTTGATGTCGATTGTTAGTAAAGATAATTAAATTTCTTAAACGTGAGTAGGACAATAATCAGCCAAATATTAATAAACAATAATAATATTTTATTTCAAATTTTGATAATTTCATGTCGCTGGCACCTTGAGCTCGTTGGTAGGCTCATTTTTTTCTTGATTAGTCACAAGTTGATTGTGATCGTTGTCGTCTTGCTGCTGTGTGTCAGATTTTTTAATATCTGCAAAATATTATCAAAATAATGACATGAAATATTTACGAAGTTATTTCGGTTTCAACATGTAAATGAGGATAACCTTATCTATATAATATAACTTTAGTCATATAACATTATAAAGTTTTTTTTTATCGAGTTTTTAGATTCTTGAGATTACTAGACATTGGAAATGAATCTTTTATCGAATCAAATCACGTGTGTTTGTTTTTTCAAATAAACTTGTAAAGAGCCCGAACCGTTGGTGTGTTCAATAAAACAAATATGTACGCGATTTTAGGTCGGAAAATAGTATTTTATTCAATCTTTGTATAATGAGGGTTTTCAAAGTCGAGTACAATAAAGAAAAACAACGAATATATTTAAAGATTATTCCGTTAACAATCCACGACAACGCTACAAAACAAAAAAAAACTAAAGAAATAGAATAAAAGTGTCCGTGATTGGTCATGTGCTGCTTATATTTTAACCAATCACACAGCAGTAGAGCGTTTGAATAGCGTCATATTTGATATTTTTGTTGTTTTTATATAATTACTTTTTGCCACGTGACTACGCATTTGTAGAAGTTACGTGATATTTTGGGATATTATTTAATAAATTAATTTTAAATTTAATAATTTCATAAATATAGTGACGTTATTCTATTCAGGAACACAGTGACGCGTTTAGAGAAATTCTTTTAATTAGCAAAATAAAATAAATATATTACTATATACAAATATTACAATAAATTATATATAATACAATTATTAATATGAAATATAATACGAATATTAATATATACAAATATTAAAAAGATTATACATTAGAGCACATTATAGTTCTGTGTACAGATTTTTTTCAGTTTATTGGCGAATACCCCACAATACAAACAATAGAATTTTGGTTCAGAATTAAAAAGACATTCAGACAGATTTAAAGTACACATATTGATAAAAGTACAGTAGAAAAAAAGTACTTTTATTTCCAATATAATTTTTTACCAAAGATTCAAATGATTTGTATATAACGTAACTATATATCTCTACATAAATAATTGATAGTAATTAATTATAAACTTACCGCCTAAGAACACCTTGAATAAAGTGGAAAATGGAGAATCCACCAGAAGCGTAAAAACAAAACTGACTA